TCCTCCACGTTTGTCTGAACAGCATGCTTTGGCTTACCACCACCAGGAGGATGTATATTTAGATTCTCAAAGAGTTGATCCTCTTTTGTATATGTGGGGTTCCAGACTAAACCCTGTGATAATTTTGAACAGATCACAAATTTTTCAGATTCGTTTGACCCCCACTTCTGTTCTGAGATTATCTTCTCTTCAAATTTTGTTGGAAGCCTATCAACATTCCCCACAGCAATTTGAGGATGAATTGAGTCCTTTGCTGACTTCTACCTTGGTATGTTTGTTGGCTTCTGCTCTTTCTTTGGTTTCATGGCTAGTATGTTGTTGGGATGTATTGGATAGAGATGCCTTGTTGGAGCTGTAGCCCCCTGTGAGTTACATGAGGCTCCTTTTCACCATCCCTCGATGTTCATGGGCATCCCAGAAGCACTGGAATCACAATTTGATGTTGCCTATTTGCATTCTTCCTTGTCATCGTTGGCCTCTAGACTTTCTTTGACTCCTGCTAGAAGTCAAGATGCAGCTGCTCATTGTGTATCCCAACCCCTAGTTTCTGCTTCTCGATCTATTGGTGCTCAGAATAGATCCCATCCTTATCTTTCAGGCTCCTCCACTCGGTATTTTATTCCCATTTATTTGTTGTGCTCAAGAAGGCGGAAGATTAGCAGCCAATCATCGATCTATCTCATCTCAACCAATTTTTAGATCCTCCCAGGTTCACTATGGAGTCTTTTCTTAATCTACATTGGCACTTTTCACCAGGTCTGTGGATGACCAAGTTCGATGTCGCCAATACTTATCTCCACATTTCCAAAGCAATGTCATACCCCCACTATTTATGTTTTGTACGCAAGGGTCAAGTTCTGCAGTTTAGGGCTTTGCCACTACCATCAGTTTTCCTATACATTCCTCTCATCCCAAGACTCATTTCTTCACAGATGCTTCACTTTGGGGATGGGATGCTTATATCGACAGTCAGGAATTCCAGGGCCTATGGATGGATGATGAATCTTCTTTTCACATCTATCTTCTAGAACTTCTTTCTGTTTAACAAGCAATGATTCAAGGTCTAGAACTAATGAAGGGGGAAATCTTCATGATTCATTCCAACAATTCCACAGTGGTGTCTTACATTTCTCGTCAAGGGGGTACACGTTCTGGGTACCTTTGTTTTCAAACTTTGGATATTCTCTACTGGGCTCACTCCCATTTAATCAAGATTTGATAGGAAATGCACCAATGTGCCTTTCCCCCAATTCGTCTGTTACCCAGAGTTCTGGCTATAATTCAATCTGCTCCTTGTCAAGTGCTCTTGGTAGCTCCAGACTGATCAACCCAACTATGGTTTCCTCTTCTATGGTATCTTCAACAGTGTCCACCTCTGCCACTTCCTCTTTGGCCATCTCTGTTGAGGCAACCTAGATTTGACATTTTACATCCAGACATTCCCAAATTCAAACTTCATGTATGGAAGTTATGCAGTCCTTTGCACTCTAAAATTTTCCAGTGGATTCACTTTCAGTTTGGGACTCCTATGATTAATGCATTCACCGTTCATTGGAACTCTCAATTATAGGCATTTTGGTCCTGGTACCTGATCCTCAGGCTTTGGCGTTAGATGCATTTAGTCAAGATTGGATAGGATTGCACCTCTATGCCTTTCCCCCAATTTGTCTGTTACTCAGAGTTCTGGCTATGATTCAGTTTACTCCTTGTTGAGTGCTCTTTGTAGCTTCAAATTGACCTACCCAAGCATGGTTTCCTCTTCTGTGGTATCTTCAAGAGTGTTCACCTCGACCACTTTCTCTTTGGCCATCTCTGTTGGGGCAACCTCGATCTGGCATTTTACATCCAGATATTCCCAAACTCAAACTTCATGTAAGGAAGTTATGCGATCCTTCACACGGCATAGGGGTTTAACTTCTAAAGTTGCCTAGTATTTGTTTCAATCTATCTGTAGACCCAAAATGGCCCTTTATCAAAGGAAATGGCACACTTATCTCCAATGGTGTCTCACAAGGAAATGGAACCCACTTCACCCAAACATGCCTACCATTTCTCATTTTTTGACCTGGCTTTTTGACAAAGCCTAGCTTCCTCTACTGTTGCTTTATATAAGGTAGTTTTAACAACTACTTTTATTTCTCTAATCATCGGAAAGTATTTGAACCCCCAGTGCTACCAGCCATCTCAAATTATTTAGAGTCCTTCATCCCAAAGGCCTTTTCAGTTACCCAACTAGGATCTTAAGGTGGTATTGCATGGTTTGTCTTGATTGAGTGATTAGATTTGTGTATTAAAGTGTACTTTTTGTTGCTGCTAGCATGCGGACGTCGTAGATCAGAGTTGTTTTCACTACATGTATATAAGACTATCACTCCACTTATGTCCTGCTATACCCTCATAGGTCCTTTCTTCTTTCTGTCAGCCAGGGAAGGGGATAACTCCTTCTCAAAATTCATTTGCCAGCTATTTCTCACTCCTATGACAGATCACACCTTGATCATTTGTTATGTCCTGTCAGAGACCCTGGTTGTTACGTGGCTCAAACTAACTCCTTTTGAGGGAATTGAAATAGATTTTATATTCATTTGGATCCTTCAGTTTCTTGAGATTTGTCCCTGATTTGAAGAGGTGGCTTTGCAAATTGATCCATATTGCTTATTCTGGACTTTCTTTGCAGGTGAGGAAATTTCTGCGAGTCACATCTCATCAGATTTTTCACATTTCTATATCTTTAGCTGCTTGATTAAATTGCCCGCTGGAGGACATTGTGTGGGTTGGTATGTGAATTTCTCCCAATACATTTCTCACACATTATTTACACGATCTGGCAGTTTCTTCTTCTGAGGGTTTTTGACTTCTCCCCTGTGGCCATTTTGACCACATCTGCAAAATTATAAGGAGGTGTGAGTAATTTTTCATTTCCTCTTCTTGTATCTTTACTTTCCTGGGTCCCTTATCTTTTTTTTTCACTGGATCCCACTCTGTGATGAGTGGTGCCCAGACAGATATGCTTTTATCATTCTAATTCTGCACTGGCAACCAATTTCACTATACTTACTACTGGGTCAGCTTGCTTTTACAAATTTAGTGAACTTGGTTCACCTATTGCACTGCTTCCAAAGCACAGTTCCTCAGGGCTCCCCAATGCACCTTAACCCCCATATTATTCTAGTGGAGCTAGTGAGTCCTTACAACACCCAGTTTCTAGTCATTGAGGTGGTTGACAGAGGCTTGTCCTCCAGAGTGTTTGAGTGATTTCCTCCACTCTTGAAGAATAGGGCAAAGTTGAGGGCCCTTCCACCCAGCTCCCTGAATGCCTTTCCCAGATTTCAGTAGAAGTGGCACAAGTCTACACAGGAGCCTACTTGTAATACTGCTTCAGAATTGATGCTAAGCTATCTGGTTGGGGTGTGCATGGCCCTTCTTTTTGATGAATATTGGTTTAGTATATTATTCATGGAAGGAGGTCTACTATCTCCTTGTAATTCTGATTGCTTAGTAGTCTCATCTGGGGGCAAGTGGAAGGCTCTTTGGCCACTCATTTGGGGAGTGAGGATGAATGTTCATAATTCCGTACCAGATGAGTTCTGTTCTTTTGGTTGAGTAAGGCACACAATGATCCCATCATTCCAAGCCTGGGATTTTGCTTTTTAGACTTCTTCAGGTGGAGAAGAAAATTTATTCGCTTTGGTGATGCTTACTTTGTTGTTGTGATTCTGGTGGTTTAGAACACATCACTCTGTGGCTACAGATTGGGATTCAATCAATTATCCATCTGTGTAACATTGCGGTCCAATTGCCCAAACCATCAACTTGGGATATAGGAACCAAGTCCCTTTAATTCCAACTCAGATTTGTGGAATCTCAGCTGTCTGGTTGGGGGTGGCCTATAGTGATAATTACTCATATACAATTTCCACCCTTGATACAGAAACTATGATCTGAGCAATAAGCATACCTGTTCTGGATGTAGTGCAATTCTCCCACTTGGGTACCATTATTATCTTGGTACACCCTTGATCTATACAGACACTTTCTATGGATAATACCCTCACCCGCTCTTCCACATTCTCAATGTGGGATTCTAGCTATAAGTGACTGTGGATGGTAAGTATGTTTTGGAAGTTAGCATTTTCCTAAATGTATTTCCAATAATACTTGCTGACACTCACCCACCCTTCCTCCCCACTAAGAGCTGGTGTTAGAGACTGGGATGGTGTCAGTCTTGAAATGAGATGCTTATATACAGTACCAGTATAGAGGGTGCATTGATGTAGATGGAGAGTATATTGCCAAGGGCAATTGAGTGGGGTGTAAAAACTAGACCAAAGAGAAAAAATCAGATCAATGCTTAGATGGGCAGTTGAGTAATAGCTATAATTGTCAACAGTGGTAATTATTATTGGAAATGCATTTTCAACTTAGGAAAATGTTAACTTTTATTATGTAGCTTAATCCCTTCTGTGTCAGATGGAAATGAGTTAAAGAAAGTCAGATTTTTTATTTTGCTTTTTGATAGTCTGTGCTTATATGTTAATGAAACAAAGGTTTTGTTGTGATGTGTTATTATATTTCTGCACAAAATATACTCAATAAATAAATGCTACTTATATGGATTTGTACATGATATATAATATTTCAATGAAACTGGAGTAAAGAATAGCAATGCTTTTCACCAGTGTATATGATATGTAATTCAGAATAAATCTGATTGAGATCAGTACAAAGAGCATTTCCAATGCTATCTAGCAAGTGCTGATTGTAATACGTTTACACACAAATAAGTTTGGGAAATAATTAAAAATATTTAAAAAAATAATTTGCCTGAATTAACTCTAGTTAATAATTTTGAAACATGGAGGACATCCGAGTTATCCTGGGCAAATTATGGAAGATGTTAAGCATGCATTTGACTGATGTATATTCTAGCTTTCTACTCTGTATTAAGTGGAATTAATAAAAGGTAATTATTAAACTTAGTATGCTTTTTGATACTTCAGGTATTATGATGGAGATCCTGATAGACTGTTTAAGGAAGCTCACATTGTTAGTCCTTATAAAAGAGTTCCCAATAAACTATACAAGGTAAGACAGTTAAGTTTAAGATTTTAACTATCTAAATAATATTTTGTAAAATGAAAACATCAATGCATAAGTAATTACTAAAGCAGGTATGGAAAAGAACATCCTTTACTGTTTAGTCACTATTTCCATGACACATCACAGCTCGAAATTAACACTGTCAAACTAGCATATGCTGGTTATACCATATTACAGTTTCATTAGTAAGACTTAGAAAGTACTAGAAAAAATTTCTAGTACACATTTCAGAAGGAAGATTTGCAGATTCTTACTATTCAGTGTCAATATACCCATGATACATGCATTTCAGAAAACTATATTGCTAGATTCAGAATACTGAAGGCTACTATAATTGTAACAAGATTGTTTCAGTTGTTGATGCCATGCTAGTTTTGTGGTCCCCATTTAAGTAGCATAGCATAATCTGGTTAAGTATCAGGAAATGGAAGTAGTGAGACTTAGCTCAACTCATTTGATTGGTTGCAAAGGCAGTTAGCAGATGGACCAGCTGGGTAGACTCAGACCACCTGGCCTCTGCATTGCAGTTGTGTTGACACCATGGTAAGAAATTTGTGCTTATATTGTTGCACATTGAAAATAATAAAAAATAGAAATCACAAACTGTAGGTGTTTTCCCCACATTCCTCTTAATTTGTCCATGATTAATACAACTGTTAGGACTATTGGCTTCTAATGCTTTGCCAGCTTTTGGTATTTAAATTGTAACTTTAAATAACAAAATACTTTATTTTTTAACATAGGATAGATGGCCATCAGCAGTGGGGTACTGTAGAGTTCATCATTCCATGTGTTGGTGGCCTATATGTACCATTTTCTTCCTAATATGAGCATCTTTTAACTTTAGTGAAATATTTAAAATAGAACATTATTACATGCAGTTAAAATAGGTTTTGATATTAAAAAATATTTGAAAAGAAAGACATGACACAGAAGAATTATTCATGTAACTAAATATATACATATTTATTACCATTTGTTATGTGAAGTAATTTATTTATGACACCGTTATAGTTAACTCTCTGTGCATGGGGCTAGTCCATTGGTTCAACCCTTTATTGGAGAATTAATGTTTACTATAAATCTGAATTTACTACATGTACGTTCACAAAATTTGGCAAGTTTAATTTAAGCTTGAAAAGTCTATTGTACCCCCAAAAAATCCGATTTTATAATAAAATATTTTTGTGAATTTATGGCATACAAGGTTATTTTCATGTTAAGAATAAAAATACTTTTTTCATCTTACAGTTTTTATATTCCATTTACATACCTCCAGAACCTCCTAAATGAATATCAAAGTTTTTTGTTTTTTTGTAAAACTTTATATATACTTTATGTCTTATTTTCTCTACTCTAACACTAACTATAGCAAAAATCTGTATTGAAAGTTGAAAAAGGTGAAATAGAATCAAAAGTATTATTCTTAACTTGAGCTAATAAATATACATTCTGGCGATATAGGTCGTTATTTGTTTGTTTACCTTAATAGAATCAAAAGTACATTTTTTTTTCTGTAATGACTACAGGTTGTAATACATTTATAATAACTTATCTTAAACAGCCTCAGGTTCCTAACAACTGCATATCTGGCTTCAATAATTTTATTGCTTTTTGAACTGTATCTATTTAGTAAACTAGCATAACGAAGCAGAAATCACCCAGCGAGAGCATAGCTCTAACTATGGTAAACAAAGGCTCAAGTTACTTAATGTATGAGCAGCTCACATGAATATGTTAGTGACAAATGTTTTAAGTTATCCCTGATATTTTGTGGGTTTGCAGTTAGTACTTTACTGAATTTTTATTTATTTCAAACATCCAACTTAGAACACAATATTATAACACACAGATAATACAATGTCCTATAACTATTATCATTTAACTGACTTTCTAATTATTGTATAAGTGGTTTAAAATATTCCTTTAGCTGATTGAGGTGACTTGGCAATAGCAAGTAATGAAATTTTAGGCCAAATAATTAAAACCTTAGTGCATGTGGAGTTGACTTTCTGGTTTATACATCGGTAATGCAAGAAGATTGGAGGCTGTAACTTTAAATTATATATTATCAATGTCTTTACTATAAGTATTTAATTTGTATAAAATATTTGATTGGAGGCTGTAACTTTAAATTATATATTATCAATGTCTTTACTATAAGTATTTAATTTGTATAAAATATTTGATTGGAGGCTGTAACTTTAAATTATATATTATCAATGTTTTTACTATAAGTATTTAATTTGTATAAAATCATTAGCTCAATTAGAGTTAAGTGTTACATGATACAGAAAAGTGAAGATTGGGGATTTATAACATAACATGATGTTCAGGGACAACAAGGGACCTATAGGTCCATCTAGGCTGTCCCATCTTTCAAACTAAACTATTAAACAAAATCTCAATGTCAGCCCTTATCATTCATATAATTATAAGGCTTGCTCTTAAACTCACTCACATTTACTGCCTCTACAACATCCAAAGGCTAACCACTCCGTCAGAAAAATAAAACTATTTTAGCTGATGTTGACTCCTACCTTGCCAAATTTTATATTTGTGTCCCCTAGTATGATAAAAGATGATGCAACAACACTATCAAATCCTTTAACAGTCTTAAACACCTCAATCAGATCATCTCTAACTCTTCTTTTTTCAAGAGAAAACAATTTCAGAGATCTTAACTGCTCCTCATGACAACCAGGCACCATTCTAGTAACCCTTCTCTGAACCCTTTCCAACAATTCAACGTCTTTCCTAAGACTGAACACAATACTCCAGATATGGCCTAACCAGTGATCTACACAATGAAATTGTTATCTCTTTGGTCTCATATTCAATATTTTTGTAGATACAACCTAAAATCCTATTTGTGCTACCTCTAGCAACAGAACATTGCTTGGATGGCTTAAAAGACTGATCAACCACTACACCAAAATCCTTTTCTTTCATAACACTGGCAAGGTGTTATCCAAATTATACTTGTAATTCAAATTGTGATAATCCACATGCATTATCGTGCTTTTATTATAATTAAAACCCATCTGACATTTATTTGCCCAAATTACAAAATGGCCTAAATCCTTTTGTAAAGCAGCAGCATCCTCCTCACAGCCAGCAACACCGAAGACCTTAATATCACCAGCAAATTTAATATTTTCCATTGAAATTCAGAAATTAATGCTTATTTAAAATATTAATTATGAACTATGTTTTGACTCCAGGCTTATTGACATAAATAGATAATAAGTTTGTCTAACTTCTAAATGTAACTGTGAAAAATCATGACCTGACATTTTGACTCCCACCCATTCACACAGAGTTAATTTTAGAGAAAAATAATGTAGCTAGTAACAGTCCTGAATTTGCTACTACTTCAAAAGTTAAGGCCAACATATAGCTCATAGTTTTACTCAAAACAGGAAGGAAGTTTTAATATCAAAATTATTATTGTCAGTTCTATTCTTTTAACAGTACAAAATCCAGTATAATTTTACTCTTCTTGAAGCATACAGCTGAGAGCTGAGCTAAGTTTATGTTTATAGAAAATAGAGTTTCAAATTTTAAGGTACAATTATTTTAACTTACAAAGTATAATGAGTGATATAGTCCTGTTTTGTATCCATGTGCTTTAACAAATTGTCCTAATAGAAATTTAAATTTCATGCTGTTTACTAGTAATTTCAAAGATTTAGAATTGAATTTTTATAATTCTTGAAAACATAGATAATCTCTTTCTTAGTGTGTGTGTGTGCCAGTAACGTTCACTAGTTTTAAAAATTATGGAGAGTTAAAAAATTCAAGATTTTTATATCCAGGTTACACTTTTTATCAGAGTATATTTGAACTTGTACTGTCAAACTGTGAAGCAAATTTATGCAGAAATGAGCACTTAATTGCAGGTAATTATTTCACTTTTTCTTATTAATCTAAGAAATAATCAAGACTAGTAGTTGTACCCATTTAGTTTTTATTTTCTGAAAGCATTTATTCTGCACAGTTTTTATTATAAGGTTAGTTTTTCATAATGAAGCACCTAAAAGTTGCAGTATTTTTAACCCTTCTGTGCTACATAAATGTAAGTTCATGTAAACTTACAAGTTTTCCAATGAAAAGATAAATTGCGGTGCTTATATTCTCCTTCATAGAGATCATACCATAATACTAAAGGCACATTACATTCATACATATTACCCTCTTTGAAGAAATGGAGCTCTGAAAATATTAGAAATTATGTTCTATTATAAGTTGATGTTCTTCTCAGCTTACATTTTAATTTTCAATCTTTTATGTTTTATAATCAAAAATTATATTACACATCCCAAAATATAAATAAGCATTAGGCTACAGAACATTTGTAGCACCTAGGTTGTCATGAAAGGTTATTGAAGTCATAGTAACTGGCAAGGTTTAATGATGTCAAAGCATTCATTTTTTGAAAAGAAAACAAAACTTTTTTGCTTTTATTTATTCTCACGCACAAAAATTATGAATAAATATACATTAATAGCTCTGTTTTAATTTTGGCTTAAAATCTTATTTTGTTTTTAGCAAACTTGAAATAGAAGAAATGAAGAACATTGTAAGACTTATTTTCAGTCCAACTAACAATGTATTTAATTATTATGATTAGTGGTTCTTATAATGATATCTCAGATTTCAGTTTATGCTTTATATTCGTATATACTGACTGGAACATTATTACGAGCCCAGCTGTACTTACAGTATATTTATTGATTTCTTTGTGGGTTTTTCAAGTCAAACAAAGGTTTAAAAAGAACAGTATCCATACATTTGGCTGGCAGTTATACTCTACTCATCGTCTTTGAGGTTAATTTTTCTAAGTGTGGCAAGTATAACTGAAAAGTTAAGAGAAATAATGAAAGTATTAATGAGAAGATAGTAATGGAAAACTATTTCATTAAATTGGAATTCACATGTTTTGTTACTTATGTAAATAACTATGTGTGTATTTTATTTTCAGAGAACAACACGAGCAGGGTTAACTATTACTGAGGAATGCGAGATATGTCTCAGGGAAATCCCAGTTGTGGTGAGTTGGCTGTTTTCAAACATGTGATGTATGAAAAGTAGATCTGGGTGATTAGAGAAATTTGCTGATTGATAAATGTAGGCCCGGCATGGCCAGGTGGTTAGGGCACTCGACTCGCAATCTGTGGGTCGCGGGTTCGAATCCTTGTCACACCAAACATGCTCGCCCTTTCAGCCATGGGGGCATTATAATGTGACAGTCAATCCCACTATTCGTTGGTAAAAGAGTAGCCCAAGAGTTGGCGGTGGGTGGTGATGACTAGCTGCCTTCCCTCTAGTCTTACACTGCTAAATTAGGGACGGCTAGCGCAGATAGCTCTTGTGTAGCTTTGCGCGAAATTCAAAAAACAAACAAACAAACAAATGTAAGGTTCGTTAATCAATTACATTGAACTAATAAATTATTCTCACATGAGTCTTAGATAGTTGAAATAAGTTAAAATAATGATAATCAGAAACTAATTAATTTTGATTAGTTGATTATTTTATGAATTGTGACACTAAGCAATTAAGCTGAAAACTTTGAATTAATCAAAAGTAATAATTAGAAATCATAATGGCAATATTTCAGTTGCTTGAATAGTTGGAACATTAACATTGATTATATTCATAATAAATTAGTTGTTTATTTTACATGATACTAATTGATGTTTATAAGTAATTGAATTGATTACCCAGCTGTAGCAAAAAGTAGTCATAAAAACTGCTTTTTATTTTTACAGATTTATAGTGGTGATTTGTATTTTCTTAAGTTTTGTTAAGATGAAAAAATATACATACACTTAACACAAACCCATGCTAGTAATTTCAAAATAAAAAATATTTGAATCATTTTGTACTTTTAACAGGGTAAATGCTTTTCCATTAATTAAGTTTGAAAATCAGGCATATCTGGCTTGTAAGACAAGGGGTGATTTGTATATGTGTATTAATCATACAAGCTTGGGATAGTTCCATATTGGGTATGAAAAGCCTGAACTGGCAGTTTTTGCTAGACTGAAACTAGTAAAGAAAAGTATTTTTTTAAATAAAGGGAACTTTTCAGACTTGTTTTATCCGACACTTTATTACTTCTTTTTATAGTAGAGTCATATTTTTAATACACTGATTTATTTAAAAGCAATAGTTATATTGTTGGATATACAAGACTGTTTAGTTTTAGAGTTATTATTTAATTTATTTAGTGATTTAATATTTAATGATTATTTAGTTTTCATAACAAGAGTGTTAAAAGTTAATTATTTTAAAAGCAATAGTTATAACAAGTTTTGTTCGTAACTCTGTACGAGTTGTACGTTGTGTATGTAGTTTAATTGTTGTACTAGGCTTTTGTAATATTGTTGATGTCATCTAACTCAAAGCTTCTAAGTTTTTCTCATTATGTGAATATTGTTGTCACTAGAGGGCTAGATATTTCTAGATTTTTTCTGTTTCATGTTATAAATACATTTAGATACAGAGTGCAAATAAGAAGTTAGTGAAAGTGAAGCTAAACTGCATGATTGTCAGTATAGCTGTAATGGGGGATTTATAAGTGAGAATTCCACAGTTTGTATTGTAACAACAGAGATAAAGAAGAACTTGTCTTGTCAAAGGGTATTATGAAGTAATTGAATACACCTGTGTGGACTTTGACAAAAAGAAGACAATTATTTAAAACTCTGGATATAACTTTGGTAACCTACAGTTATAAAGGTGATTTTGAATTGAGTTTCAACACAGAGAAGAATAGTTCATCTTGTCAATTGGGTTCTAAAGTAATTGAACTAGTTTGTGTAGACTTTGACGAGAAAGAGACAATTATTAAAAATTTTGGATACAACTGTGATAACCAGTAGTGTAAAAAATTTTGTACGTACATTTGACTTGTTTTGAATATATTTTAAAACAAGTGGATTGTGTGCTGTCTGTTTATTGTTCAAATTTATTGCCAACAAGTCACAGACACCTAAGGTAAAGATTCTTGCCCTATACAAAAACTGACATAATATAGTTTTGAAACTTTTTTGTATTTTTGATGTGTTAAAAAAAGAAATGAAGTATTAGCAGTAAGATGCTAACTGAAGTTTATTACATACTTTACCTTTAAAGCCTTTTTGTGTAAGCTTATGTTTAAAAGTGTAATATTATGATATCCTTAGAATCACTAGGACCAATGTAATGTAAACATATTTGAAATTGCAAAAGGGATCCCAATTGATATAACTACTACTATAAAGTTTTATGGTTAAGCATTGTGACTAACTGATCAAAATGTAAACAGTTATGGTATTTGAACTATACCACTATTTTTTCTATTTTTAATATATTTCATCATTTTATGAACAAAGAAGTTCAAACTGTTTCAAATACAAGATGCAACAATAAGATAAAAGCTAGCTCAGAATAAAACAACTTAAAAAATTTAAGTTATGAAATGAATGAAACATGAATACATATCATTTACTCAGAGTTATATTTTGTGTAACCATAAGTGTAGTTAAACATATATGCATATTACGTCTTACACCTTTTCATAACTTGTATAAGCTCTGTGAGATAGATATTTAGTTCAGTTTTGTAAATGTATGGTTTGTTGTTTGTAACAAAATTGTAGAGATACAAGAATTACTATACCTTTAAGAAGATCAGCTACTAAGAAAGATTAATATTTTAAGCTTGTTGTTCAGTGAACATAAGGTTAGTTACATAAGGTCATGGAACTTATAGATGAAGAAGTAAAATGTTCATTGTCATTAAGTGAACTAGACAAATAATCCAGAAAAATCTAATCAAAAATAGGAACCATTACAGCACTGATCTCAAGAATGGAATTAATGTAGTGAAAATGAAAAAGAATCTATACTCAATTTCAATAGAATGACATGTTTACAAAGCAAGATTGAACATTTTATGGTAATGATAAAACAATAAAAAAATATTAAAGATAAAGAGACATGAAATTGAAAGGTCTAGATAAAAGAGACAGAGTGAATGTAGTAAATTTAAGGAACTTGGGGGAGAAAACTTGATAAATATTTGAATGATAAGGTCTGGCTTTTAGTTTTGCTTCTTTAAAGTTTAGATTAGTAGATGGGACTGCCTAGACATACCAACAGGTCCCTTGTTGTCTTTAAATTTTAAATGTTAAAAAAGATCAAAAAAGAATGTGACAGTAAAATGAAAAATGGATTTTGGTAATAATTTTATTAACCTCTTCTCTGTGTGTTTTCATATTTCAAATATTTTTTTGTCTTGTAGCCTATTTCAATTCATAAGTTTAACTGATGAGATCACTGTCATACTTGTCATGTGCATTAGAAGTTTTCTCAGTTGGATTGATAGGTCCTCTACCATAAAAAAAATTAAATTTTACCACGGCACAATGCTTCCATTGAATATATTGACTTGAAACACTCTATATTAAAATTAAATTTCAGTCACCAGAATGGAAAAGAGGATCAATCACAATAGAAAAATGACAAATCAGGTTTCAAATTTCAATTTTTTTTTTCATAAATACAACACAAAATAAAAGTAATTTAATATTAGCTAAGCACCAAACAAATATCAAGATATATATATATAAATGATGATGTTTATTATTATTATGATCTTTATTATGAATATGATTATTATTATGAAGATTTTCCCTGTAGACTTGAGTTGTAAATTTCAGAATGATTATTGTACCAGGTTTGACAGATTCTGAATCATTTCGTGATTGTATATAATTAGGCTGGTTACTTTGTTGTTGTGTAGTTTCTGGATCAGGTGAATCTGAAGAATCAATCCAAAAGGGACACTGACTTGATTCCCATGATTTACAATAATGAATCATTCAAAAAGAGAACCAATTATTCACAAAAGGCACATCTCTAATTAATTATTAATTGTATAATGCTAGTAGGATTGAGTACTGGGTATGTGTTAGTGTTTTTCATTGTATTTAAATCCAAAGTTCATACCAAAATAAAAATAATGTGAATACTTTTTGTAAAATTTTACTTAACAGCAGTTGTTATTTAATGCAGTAAGCAGCATTATGCAAGAAGAAAATAATTTTTTTAAACTCAACCCTCTCCAGAAGGGTCAAAGGCCATGTCATCGTGTTTGTTGATACATGTTCAAAATTTTATTGAACTACTATTTCATGAATTTATGTCAATAAGTTTTGTATCAAACTGAAGATTATAATTCAAATTTTAGTATTATATATTATTTCATTTCCTAATTTAAAAGTAAATATTAAAAACTCCAGTTAAACATCAATTTTGTGTGTCACATTGTATGTTGAATGCAGCACTGGTTCAAATTAGATGTTTGTGATGTCAAAATACTAAGTCTATATTTTCGTACAAATTAGGATCTCAAATTACTGATATTGACAAGCTAGAATATAAGATAAAATCCTTGTATCTTTTTTATTTGCTGATATATATCACTTATGTAATGAATCAAACATAGTGGCTCTGCTCACCTTTTTTCCATTTTTGGAAATGGTCTGTTATATACACTTATTTCAATATATGACATGTGAATAACCATTCAAAAGCTCAGAATGTACCCCTAGTGGCTTTCTCAGCTATTTTCATGTGTTAAGATGCCACCTCTTTCTTTTTAACCAAGATTTCAAGGAGGTAGTTTGTGTCTTAGGTCTGCTCAAAATTTCTTATTTTTTAGACCCAAATACATCTTAGTTACTAGACTTAGTAAATTATAGTGGAATTCTATGGTATCAATATAGTAATTTATAATTTTTAGGTAGTTCAACTGTATATATAAAACCTAAAAAAAATAATTTTGTTTCATGTCCTCCACATGCAAAATTTTAAAAGGCTTAGCAATGTATGTTAAGCAGCAACCAAGTACAAAGGTCGTAACTAGAAGAGATAATTGTTTGCTTTACTTCTTTATTTACTGTTCTATATTTTATGAAAAATATGCTTAAGAACTTATTTTTAAATAAGGCATAATTTATATTTATTTCCAAATATTTTATGGTAGTTACAAGATCTGTATACATATATAATGTATAATAATTGAAATGTGACTTTATTTTACAAAGTACTAGTATACTAAAACACAGCCAAGACAAGTCACTTTGTAAAGACTAAAGGTCAGTTCTATATTGTTGGATATGGTAACGTGAGAGCATGTGTGCTGCATTATTGTAACTTTTGTATTGTTATCCAGGCATGCCTGAAAGGTCAATATAATAAAAATATTAAATGTATAATGTTATGAGATTTAAGCTATTTAGTCTGAACTGTTACATTTTTATGTTATTATTTGTTGTCATTTTAGAACCAAAGAGGCATAATTTATATTTATTTCCTAATTTTTTTATGGTAGCTACAAGATCTGTCAAATCTACCAAATCCATATAGAGATTTGTTAGTAAAAATAACAGATAAACTATAAAGTTTTTTTAAGAAACATTTGATAACTATCTGGACAGTATAAAGATTTTGCATGTGAAATGTGAAAATTTTCTGATGCATAAAAGTATTTTTAATCTTAAAATGAAAATTACTTTGCATGTTGGATAGGCAACATGCGAAAAAAAAAGACATGAGAAAAACATTGCTTAACAAACTTTAAGACTTAATAAAAAATTTTTAGATTTTGTGTATGAAAGCATTGTAATGTTTACTGATAATCTGCCAAATTTCTTTAACATACGTTTACTAATTTAAAAGTTATAGCATGAAAACTATAACAAGTACAAAATGGTTATGAGGTCGGTCTCGGGGGCTGAGCCTGTGCTGAAAGAGTTTTTTGTACAGTTTTTTTTATTAGAGCTGGTGTTAGTGTTGTTAACAGTTGTTTCTCAAGTTATAAGTACTGTCTAGAATAATAGAACTGTAATATGGGTACTTTAAAATTAACAAACTTTGGTGTTATATCTTTTACATTGTTCCAGAAAATCTAATTCCAACTTATTCTTATAATGCTTAAAATATATATTTTGTTTTTTTAAACAGTGATAAAGTAGCAATAGCTTTATGTTTAGGAAACCTAAAATGTATTATAAGTCTTAATACCAGTAAAACTACATACCATGTTTTAAACTAATAACCCAAATGTTGATCAATAATTTGTATTTATATCCAACACTTTCATAATTGCAATTTGTATTTTACTATTTGATGTGGAAGTTAGAGACACAAAATGATCCATTTGTAGCCCACCATAGGCTAAAGTTTACTGATTAGCAAGGTATGAAAAATGATGGGCAAACTTAATCATAAAACTAATATTGGGCAATGCCCTACTCCAAAGGGATAAGTGAAACACCAACAGCTGCTTGAAGTTAACCCTTCCTAACCCTTCTTTAAGGTATATGAATATGAATCTTTTAAATATTTTTAGGTTATATTGGTTCCCCACTAGGTGGCTAACACTGTTTGCGTACAAGAATATGCAAATGTATGATCCATATCATTTTTAAGTATTAAGAGAGATGTAGTGAATGAATGCAATGAACTTATAAGTGGAGGACAATTTAAAATCCTCTCTCTCTATGGCCAACAGTGAACAAAAATCTGCAAATGAAGGAAAGCAAAATAGTGTTGTTCATTTAAAGTTAATTCAAAAATGACTAAATCATTTTGTTATTGTTGCTTTTAATAGCTGGGTAATTTTGATCTGTGTTTACTTTATGCATTTACTTAATTACTGAAGAAAATGACTGGATTGGCTTGTGGTCATCGATTTTGTACTGATTGTTGGACAGAATATCTCACAACAAAAATTATGGAAGAAGGAATGGGTCAGGTAGGTTTGAATAGTCAGTACTTTAAATTATTTCTTTTCTGGTTGCTTTTCTTTGTACATTTTAATTTGACAGAGTTAGACTTTCAAAATGCGTTATCTAAAATATCATAGATACATGGGTGCAGGAAATTTGCATATATTATGTGCCAAAGAATTTGACCAACAAAGATTTTTTTCTAATACAGTACATTACCTTCCCTCGCATGTTTAGCTATTCTTGTTCAGTGCTACCCTCTATATGCAAAATTTTTTTCTCATGCTGTGAACTCCCTTGTACCCCATGGTCATTGTGGTTCAACTGTGTCTCGCATGTAAATCATCATGTGACAACCCTCCACTAATAGGAGTGCAAGATACCCTCTTGATGCATGTGACTCCCTCTATTTAATTTTACCAAACTATCACTTGGAGATTAGGCAGAAAAGAATGTAATTCTAGGTAACAGCATTGAGCCAAAGTAGGAGTTTGTAGTTTGAGTAAGTAAGGTCTGTAGTATCTCCAGCCTTGTTTCCTTACTTTTTTTATGATCCTGATTTGCAGGTTTTTAAATTCCCAGTTTGTTATTTATCTGGTGGATTACTATTGCCTTGATTTCTTGCAATGGATAATGGTTTGTTTTGTTGCTGAGTGTTTTTTCCCTTGCAAATTGTCACAATAGGACCACATACAAAGGTCCAAAATCATGTAATACACGATAAAAGACCAAGGGGGAAAAAGAGTCAAAAAACACTTTTAACCATATGTAGAATGCTATTGTTTAGTGCATTTGGTGTCAGTGTAACATTACATTGAAAAGTTAGTTTCATTATTATTTTAATGGACTTTTGCTATGACATCCAACTTGAAGTTTTTTGCATTGAATAAAAACTCGTGTAGTTAAATAAACAGTTTAGTTTGTTACCAAACACCTCTGACAAGGAATAAAAAACATAAGGTATAATAATTTTGTTAGCTTATTTTGCTGCTTTATTGTCTAATTCAATCATACCATTATTTTTAAAGTCAAACTCAGTCATAGGTGACAGAAAAGAAATTAATTTTTTTAAATTATTTTTTTTTGTTTTCTGGATGAGTGTTACAGCACTCATTCAGTTCTTCCAGGAAAATACATTTATTTTCCTTTTAATGATAATTTTCATTTGTTTTCCTTTTAATAATAATTTTCCTTAAATAATAAATGTATCCTTTGGATGGTGTTTATTTTTTCATATAATCATTTTTTCTTTTTCTATCTTTTATTAAATATTACCTTTAGGGTTTAATTGGACATATAAGATAATAATGGAGGTTAAGGGTCAACCTAAATAGTATTCAGGAATTCAACAAGTGTGAAATTTGTATTCAACTAGGCTTTCAGTGAGAGTTTTGTAAAAGATTTAGTATTTCTACATTAAATAAAAATACCTTAGTCTTATGGTTATTCTGTTTATATATGTAAACAACAGATGTATGAACAAAATGCAGTTCTTAAAGCAGTTTCTGAAAAAGCACTAAATTCCAACACACTTACACCAGTGGAATTAATTTGTCTCTTCCAAAACTTTGTGAATGATGATATTGTAGAAACTGTCATTTAGGTATACATTTGTTCTTATTTTTAAGATACGTATACATATATTTATATATGTATTTCACTACATGATGAATCAGTTCCAAAGTTCTGATGCAATATATTGAATAGTAATTTCGTAACTTATTTTCTCTATCTTAATAAATGCACGGGCAAAGTAAAATTGGTAGTAAAATAATGAATTAATCATGAAAAGATGTTTGGAGTATAAAGTTTGTAACGTATTTCAGTTTAGTCTTAGATGGAATAATTGTTATATGCTTGTGATGTGTACTTGATAGACTATATCATGTGCTGCCCATGGATGTGACATCTTGGTAGATGACCAGACAGTCATGTAAGTAAGCAAGAAAAGTTTTCTCTTCAGTTTTAGGATTTATTTTGCTTTACTTTTGTTGAGGTAAAAATTCTTAATTCATGGTTATACATCATGGAGCTATGTAAGTGAATCTTCCTGTTTTATACTTTTGATTTGTTGTCAGTATTTTAAACTTCTTAAATTTAAGAACAATTTATAGACTGAAAGATTTATAACAATGAATATTACTTACAGTTGTATAATGTATGATGAGCTTATTACTGCACAGGGTATTTCCAAGTTATATAAATATAAGTACTGATTTTTAAAAATTGGGCATTTATACAAAGTTGTAATTATTATCACCTCTTAAAATACAGACTTTTTCAACATTACCTTGCAATGTAAGGAAAGACATGATAAATAATTCCCCCAAGGATATTTTTCTTCAGATAGTTTGAGAACTTTTAAAAGTATTAGTGTGCATATTCAGCTTCCTGTTTTTTGCAGTAATTTATATGGTTTCTTTTTTGTTGTTATTGATATTCAATAAATAGTTATTTTTTTTAGTTTTGCAGAAAGTCTCCTACAGCTGAGTATAGATGAATAAAACTTTCTTTTGGTTAATTTTTTAATTGAACTTTTAAAACACTTGGTAACTATTGTGACTCCACAGAAATTAATTGTGTAATTGGAAATTATGCTTTTCAGAAATACTATAGATGTAGCTTAGGAAATGAAAATAAACTAATATCCAAAATTATCTTTCACAAAATTGCATAATATGAAGTAAAAAGTCTTTGATTTAATTGAGTGAAGAAACTCCAGACTTTCAGCTCTGGGAGTACTACAATCATTACAGCCAATTCCTTTATTTAATTAAGAGTAACTACATAGGCATAAAATGCTGCTGACTGGTTGCTATTTCTCCGGTCAGCAGTTCTAAGGATGGCTATGCCTGAACCACAGAAGCCTCTGACCTGGGTGTTTAGTTTGTGTGTTGCATAAGGTACCATTTATGTAAAAATAGTAAATTATCCTTTATAGATGGGTCACAGGTGAAAGACCATGTCATCTTGTTTGTTAACTCTCATTAAAAATTTTATTGAACTACTATTTCATTAATTTATGTAAATAAGTTTGGTATCAAGCTGTAGATTATAATTCAAATTTTAGAACTATACATTACTGAATTTCTTAATTTAAAAGTAAATATTAAAAAACAGATAAACATTGATTTTTGTATGTCATGTGGTATGCTGAATGAGCACTGGTTCAAATTAGATGTTTGTGAAGTCAAAATACTATGTCTATAGTTTCGAATGAAGTAGAAACTCAAATTACCAATATTGACAAGCTAGAGTACAAAATAAGAGCCTCTTTTCTTTTCAATTTGCTAAGATATTGGTCATGTAATAAATCAAACACAGTGGCACCCCACCCACCTCTTTCCATTTTTGGAAATGGTCCCTTATATACACTTCTATATATGACATGAATAACCAATCAGAAGCTCAGAATGTCCCCCTAGAAGCTTTCTCAGCCATTTTAATTTATTTGGCATCATTTTTATCTTTTGAACCAATATATCAACAAGGTAGGATGTCTTTAGTTTGCTCAAAATTTCATATTTTTTTAGACTAAAATAAATCTTAGTTACTGAGCTAAATAAATTATAGTGGAAATCTATGGTATTAATGTAGTAATTTATAATTTTTTAGTTATTCAAATGTATATATAAAACCTAAAAAAAATATTTTGTTTCATATCCACCACGTGCATTTTTTTTAAAGACTTAGCAACCTATGTCAAGCAGCAACCGAGTACAAAGGTCGTAACTAGAAGAGAGAATTGTTTGCTTTACTTCTTTATTTACTGTTTTATGTTTTAAGAAAAATAAGTTTAAGAACTTATTTCAAAATAGCAATAATCTATATACATATATAATGTATAATAATTGAAATTTGACTGTATTTTTGCAAAATACTAGTCTACTAAAACAGCCAAGACAAGTTACTTTGCACAGACCAAAAGTCAATTTTATGTTATTTGATACAGTAACATGAGTGCATGTGAGCTGCATCATTTTAACTTCTGTATTGTTAGCCAGGCATGGATGAAAGGTTAATATAATAAAAATAATAACTATATATATAAATGTATAATGTTATGAGGTTTAAGCTACTTCGTCTAAACATTTATGTTTTCGTGTTATAATTTGTGTTCATTCTAGAATGAGAAAGGCATAATTTATATTTATTTCCTAATTTTTTATGGTGATTATAAGATCAGTCAAATCTACCAAACCCATACAGAGATTAATTACTGAAAATAACAGATAAAATATAAAGTTTTTCTTGAGAAACATTTGATAAAGATTTTACATGTGAAATTTCAAAATTTTCTGATGAATAAAAGTATTTTTAATCTTAAGATGAATATTACTTTGCATGATAGGTAGGCAACATGCAAAAATAAAAAAAAGACATGAGAAAACTTTGCTTTATAAACTTTAAGACTTAATAAAAAAAAAAATTAATATTTTGCATATGAAAGCATTGTAATGTTTACTGATAATCTGCCAAATTTCATTAACATTTGCTCAATAATTTAAAAGTTATAGCATGAAAACTATAACAAGTACAAAATGGTTACGAGGTCGGTCCCAGGGACCGAGCCTGTGCTGAAAGAGTTATCAGATAGCAAGATTACATCAGTATTAATATTCTTGATATTTGATATGTTGGTTAAACAAACATTTAAATATTTACTTCTTGTTTAATATCTTCTTATTCATTAAAAACTTCCATATTTTTTAGAATTATAAGACAGGATCATAATCTTTACTGCTTCTGGTGACTTCTGAATGCAGTTCACTTGTGGACTACTCAATTCTTACATCTGCTAATAATAAAGATTTGATACTTATTCAAAATGAGTGATCTTTCGTGCACTGTTTTTGCTGATTAGATTCTACTAAAAAAATGGAAGTTTGAGAATATTCACTCTTTACATACAATTTTGAGACTGATAATATTTGGTATGATAATTCAAGCATTATGTCTAGGGTTCTTATCTTTAACTATACAAATTTACCCTCAACATGGATTCCTGTAAATGAGTAGACCCCCCTATAGAAGGTTCTTTCTGTTCAGTTTACCTTCTAGGGGATTCATACATATTCCCACATATTTGCTGTAATGACCAGTGAGAAGTTCTGGGTTGTTAAGTGATGTCTGAGACACTGCAACTTGTGACGTTGGTCCTGAATTCCTGTAGACAGATTACCTTTGTGTGGCTCCCAGGGTCAGTCAACTTGCTCTCTCTTGCTAAATCAAATGCTAGTATTGACATTTTCTAGAGATGTTGTGGACATTATGTTTGGTGCTGGTGTTTGGGTATAGTGCTCACAAAACCCTGGCTTTGCTACATTTTCACACTTACAGTGTTGTGTGTTCCTTGAACTGCATTGTGGGGTGGTGTTAGTAGATGCTGTATTTTTTCCATTTTTTATTATGGATACCAAAAATGATAAAAAATAACAAAATAAAATCATTGAAAAACGACTATGAATGGAAGGCTGCTATTCCACAGTTACCATCGTCAAAACTTTCTATACCTTGTTTTATGATTTATTCACAGAAAGAAAAATATTGTGGTCAAACCTTGCTGCTTTTGATCCAGAGTTGATTAAGAAATCATGACCTGGAGACATCTGGATAGAAATATCATGATCACAAGATATTTTGTTGTTTTTCATAATTTATAGTGCATACTGGAATGATTTATACATTTTGGCAACCAAGTTAGAAACAACAATGTTTGCTCTACAGATAATAAAAACAAGAGCAATCAGAGAGATTGTATACCCTTGCCCTGCCCCTCCTTTTTGAGATTGCATAAATTTCTATTGGATAATGTCAAATTTCACCCTCAAAAACTCAAAGTCCTTCTCAGATCCAGAATGATCAATGATCCAGATAATTTTTTTGTAGTGTGATGAGGAGTCTCAACCTTTATGTGCCCATGAAATTTGGTACAAATCCAATAACACTTTACAGAGTTGTTAACCCAAAAGTGCAAAAATTCCCTATCTCCCCCATTATAAAAAATGCTTCAAAGTGATCCAGACCAAATTTGGGGAGGACTGTTTCATACTGACTTCCCATTTTGTGTACATCGATCTATTAGTTTTTAAGATATGTGTGGAAAAACACCTACAGACAGACACACAGACCCGATTGCAACACTCCTCCTCTGTGGCTTTATCTGATATAGTACAAAATCTGATTGATATGAAAATGTATATTAACTTACTAAACTGGTTTTATATTCTGTTTCTCAAGTCTGTCATGATGTGCTTCTCTCAGTCAAGGCTATCCGTGATATGATCCGTTGTGAGATGGAGGCATCCATGCAGACCAGGAGTGTCTCTCTTGGGGATTTTGAGGTAGCTTTTGCAAATGACCCAGGACATGCTGTGGAAAATTTAGACTCTTTTTTTTCCGACTCCTTCATTTACCTCGTAGGCCTCAACGGAGGACAATTTAGGTCAACTGCCTCCTGCTCCTTTTCTTTAGTTGGTTAATCAGGTTTGTGAGGTTTTGGGATCTTCTTTGGTTGCCTTTGATTCTACTCCTTCCATGTTGGCAGAAAGAACGACAATGACTACTTAGTTCTTCCTTCACCTGATATTGTTGTTCATGCTGGGAGATTTGACATTCAGTTACATGATGGGATAGCTATTCCTTGTCCCTCACATTTATCAGAAAAACATGACATGGCTTATCACTGCCAGGAAGATGTATATTTAGATTCCAAATGTCTGGACCCCCTTTTCGACCTATGGATTTCCAGATTGGAACCTGTGATCTCTATAAACAGATCACAATTTTCTCATTCGTCTCACTCTCTTGACTGTTCTGAGATATTTAGCTTTGCTCCAACTTTTATAAGAAGCCTCTCAATGTTCTGACATCAATTTGAGAATGAGTTGGGGCCTTTGCTGACGTCTACTATGGTCAGATTGTCGTCTTCAG